AGCTTGCGAGGGAAAGAAGGCACTGGCTTGGGAACAGATACAAAAAAAGAAGAAAAAAAGGGGAAAAAGCGGTACATGCCACTAAGAAGGACACAAAGATAAGAGCTCAGAAATATTTGTCAGTTTTCTTTGGTTCTCACTGATGAATCTATCCACAATCTTTTCTGTAGCACTGAAACAGTCCCACATGCTAAATAGCACCTTCCTCCCCCAGCTTTGTATCACCATCGGATCCCCAAGACACCTTTGGCTTTTACAGCCACAGAGGAAGGCACAGTAGCCAGCAATTCCCTCCTGCACGTGCTATCCAGTGGCCCTCACCATTCCTTCCATTCCATGTGGCAAGAGCAGGACGATCCCGTTGTGACGAACCCACTTGGCCTGGCCGGAGCTGATGAACTGGTCTATTATACACTGCGCCGTGTTGTGGAAGTCGCCAAACTGGGCCTCCCAGCACACCAAGGCATTGGGACTTGCCATAGCGAAGCCAAGTTCAAAACCTGAGAACCAAACAAGTAGGAGAATTAGAAAAGAAACAGACTTGCTGAGAAATCTTTTCATTTCTCATTAAAAAACAAAACAAAACCCGAAATGAAAGCACAAACTGGATTTTTGTAGCCCTGTTATAAATCATGCAGTTTTCAGTAGTACCATTTCCCTCAGAAAGATTAGCAAATAACGTTTTTCCAATATGTTTTAAGTCAAAGTTTTTAAGTTCTGCACAGAATATAAAGATCTGTTTTCAAATACAGAACTGCAACATGGGAAGACTCTCACCGAAGGTTACTCCAGCAGAGCAACTAGCTTTGCTGTTGTAAAATTTTATTTAAAAAGCTACGATAATGAGTTGTAACTCTTTCCTGAGTAATTGCAAGACTGTAAAAAACCTCAGAGTGAGCTAACAGACTGATATGGATTTCTCATCTCTTTTACAGCATTATTCTAAGATCTGCACATGTAACCTAAGTTGCAGAGAGAGTTCCATCCCACTACCATTGATCTACACTGAACTTGGCCTCATTTTTTTGCTATCTAAAAGTCACAGTCATTTCCATTTTTGCCTGGTTTCCTTACAGTGACAAATGCTGTTCTACAACATAGGCTTGATAGCAAAACCAGCTTAAGTAAAAACAAACATAGTCTGTGGTAACAAAATATCTGTGCTTCTTAATTTGTCCTGCTGGCCCTCAGCCTACTCTCACCCCCAGTCACAAGAGTAGTGTACATTTAATTTAGACAGAAACGTGCCTAAGACTGACATTTGGGATGCAGACAGAAATCCCTTCATATCTGAGAGGACGGTACACCTATCTAGATACTATGCATTAATTTGGGTTTCTCCTTTTTTAACTTGCAGATATTCTCAGGAGTACAGGACAAAAATATCAATCTGTAAAAATCTCATGTTGTAGATAATATTTCCTAGACCCAAAGGTGGCTATGAGCCCAAATGCAATCTTTAGTCAGGAACCTAATACACCTAAATATTGTCTATCAGTAAAATCCAATACTGCTTTATGACCAGTAGTATTTAGTAAACTACAGTAAGCTGTTGTGAAGCCATGAAAAAACCCAAAGTCATTGGAACTATAGTTTCTGATTCTGATCAAAACCCCTCTACAACTCTTCTAATTAGAGAAGTTTTAGGAACTTCAAAAAACTCAGGCTTCCTTGAAGAGATGAGCTTAGCATGCTACAGGGTCACCAGCAAGCAATAGCTGACATCTCTCACATACTTATCATTTGTGATTTATAGTCTGGTGACTTGAGGCTGCAGCTCCTCTAGGAGAGTCTCTTTGTGAAATTCAGTGGATAAAATAATTACTTCAAAGAGAATTGTAATACCAAAAAACTATATAAGGAATAATAGAAAAATACCTAAAGTATCTTTTAAGATGGTCTGGCATTCCAGGTATTAAAAAAAAAAAAAAAATCAATAAATTATGAGATAGAAGAGAACAACATGTGGCACATATAGCATACGAGTTACTTCAGTGTTATCAGTGCAAGGTAATTGACTTAGCTACGGAGGAAGATTTCAGGATCAAGTCAAACCTATTCAAACCTCTTTGTTCTTTTTTTGTTTTGTTCAACTTTTTACTTTATGTTCACTATCAGAGAGATACTCTGCAGAGAGCTCTAACCTAAGATTGAGGTCTTCGTGTGCTAGATGCCACAAACATACACAAGTAGTTCCTTCCCTAGAAGTTTTACTGTCAAACTGGAGGAAAAAAAAATGGAAAGAAGGAGGAAAAAAAAAAAAAGAATGAAGGACAAGCATTTCCACCTTACAAAGTTGAGAACTAAAGAACATGCAGTTACAGAAAATTTAAACTTGTCCAGTTCCACAAGGAAAACCTTCAACAAAACTAGTGAGATTTGTCATGTATCAAAGAAGTCCCTCTCTAACACGAACTACAAGAACATCCTTCCAACACTCGACATGAAGTTTTGACATAGGTCATCTATCATGAAACTGCTTTAGCTTAACTTGATGACTACAGCTAATTGGAACTACAGGATTTCGTTCTTCTGCTCCAGGAACAGGCTCTTCAGTCAATGTCAGTATACAAACTTTCCTGGAAGGTTAGTAGAGGGACAACTGCAGGACAAGTTAACTGCATGAGAGAAAAAGCAACAAGAGCTTCAAGTGAAACTGTTTATTCAGAGAGAAAACAGTTTTACATGTTTTTATAATACGTCTTCATAGTCTGCTCCTTGGTAATTCCAACCCAGCTTTTTTGTTTACCATCTCCAAGTCAAGAAATCTTTGAGTCACTTGGCTTCTGGACTGCTGAACTCTGAACAGTCCATCCATGACTCCAGCAGATGCTCATGTTCACACCAAAAGGCAACTAGTAAGTTAGAGGCCAAAAGGTGACTGATAAGTCAGACAGATGGCTTTTCATCTGTGAGTCACCATGACAGCGCATTACCAAAGAAGATGGCTTTTGCTGACCATTCCTTTGGCCTGACTGCCTGATGAGCCTTTACTTTCAGAACATATTTTAAATCTCTGTCCTCATTTGTGTGATTCTATTGTTTTTAACACAATGCAAACAGTGGAAAAAATTACACAACTCCTTCAATTCTTGTTCCCAAAGGTATCTGAAAAATAGATTTCCCTAGATAGGCTTGAATCCCATTCTAATTTTACACAAGCATTAAGAGAACATTTCTACTGATTGGGTGACATGGTTGAGAAAATAAGCAATATGTTCAAGACTTATTTGCGCATATGCTGCTCTCTGTAAGGATGGGGTAATCTAGCTTTTAGAGAAGAACAAACTGAGGTCTTGACTGCTTGGAGTTATCAATAATCACACAATGCTTTTCAAAGAGTATGGAGCGCTCTGCATATTTAAAATTTGGTCAGAGCACACATCTAATTGTGTTCCATATATCAAAATCACCCCTAAAATTCACATGGAAAAAAGTAAGTCATTTCTCATTTCCTATCTTGTTGCCCACTTTGTGCTAATAATCTCCACAGGGTGACAAAGTCCCATGTAAAGCTGCATTGAAAGGTGTGATCCTAACACAGATACCTTTCGTGAGCTTTCTGACAGCCATAAAGATATCTGGGAAAATATACCCTAATGTAATCTATACATTCTGATTAATATTTTGAAATTAATTCTGCCAAGACTACTATTTCATGGAACATGTGTCTGTGGTATACCCATCTTTGGTATACCAGAACTCATTTTCCACCAGGCAAATAACAATGAGAGTTCCTAACATTAAAGCTATTCCACCAGTGATTATAGCAATTGCTAGGGAGTCTGTCAAGAATTACGACCCCTACCCGCATGTGGAGAAAATCATTTAAAGAGTAAGATCCAAACTGCTAAATTTAAAAAAAAAAAAAAAGTATTGGTGCAAAGATGTCTAGACAGATGCAAGGTGAACAACCCGGGAGAGGGTGAGGTGCTTCTCTTGAAAGGGATTTATTGGGCACCAGATGCATCAAGGTCAGGGAAGATGACCAGAGCTGGAAAGACTCCACAGCCGTAGAGTTGGGACAGGAACCACAAGGAAGCGGGTTCCTACCCAAGCCCCCATGATGGCTCAGCCTCAGACCAGAGTAAAGGGTTAAAAAAACTGCAGCAGAGACCTTGCAAACTTTTATTGTGTCTGCAGAGCCAAGAACTGAGCATTTCTTCAGAATGCTGTGCAAACTTTGTGAGTTTAAAGGATTAACTCTTAAGCAGTGACAAACACAGAGAACAGGTTTAAGCTGTGAGGAAATCCAGTGCCCAGACAACCAGGCTGCAAGATGTAGCTTTCAAAGAAGGACAGGTAAAGAATCCGCACACCCAAAGGGTGGCAGAGAGTCACCAGCCAGCTCCCAAACATCAGGCAGCCACTCAGAGCACACCAGGGCACAGGGAACCAGGAGTCAGCACAGCAGTTTGGTAAACTTCCAAACTGAGGGGAGAGACGAAAGAAGAATACACAGCTCTTGACTAAGGTTGCAAAACTAATGCTTTAATTGCTGAAGTTCATTAAGGTCCCTAGATGATAAGCATAGCAGAAATACTTGTTTCTATTAGTCCATTTCCTGCTGTGCTCCCTCACTGTTCTTTCGTCACTCTGGCAGAGAAAGAGGTGCTGTCAAACAAGTGGCAGCTTACACAGCATATTATGCTGTGTTTTTCCCCACAGCACTTTTCCTGATTGTCATAAGAACTGTAGTTTTTCAATTAACACAAGTAAGGCTATAGCTTAATTCAATATGATTCCAAAGTGACTTAAGGCATGAATGTTAACTAATGGTTACAGAAGGCTTATCAGTGCAGGGATTTAATGTCAGAATGAGGAAAGTCACAAAGACAGATTTGTGCTATGTTTAACAAAAAATCTAAGCACAGGGACTAATGGAGGAACATGCATCCTTTCACAAACCCAAACACAGCCCAGGAGAAAGTGAAGTTAATACCCATCTGGTGGCTGACGCTATTAAACAGAAAGACTGATGCCTTCTCAGAGCTCCATGCAGATGCCATTGAGAACCTGGTCCTTGGTTACTACAGTCTGTTCTATTTCCTAACACAATTTCTGACAGATGTGTATTTTTTGTATTTGCTACTCCTAACCTTAAAAACATGTTGTTCTGAATGAGTAGTAAAACCACATATTTCATCCTAGGAGTGTATTGCAAAAAAAAGTCTAAATCAACATCTGTCCTCTTCCCTTCATCTTCTGCTTTAAACATGACCTTCTCCCTTGAAAAAGCTGTACTCCAGGTCTCACAGTGCACCAATTTGCTGAACTACGCACTAGTTCCAGGTCTATCTTTCCTGGATGTTCCCGATATGGGATGTTACAGTCCAAGACCTCTCAAAGCCAGTACTGAATCTGACAGAGAGAATCATACCTCCTGGATGGAGAATCAACACTACACAAATCATTCTGAGGGCAGTAAAGAAAGACAGGAGATCCTTTCAAGTACTTAAAAAATGCTGAAGAGGTAGCGTAGACTGCCTGTAAGTTACTTTTGCTTTTCTCCTCTATCTCAATCAGCAAATAAACTCAAACTTCTTTGCCTAAATGACTTCACACAGCCATCACACTCTCAGACATTCAGTTTCAGTAAAAGGGAAAATTTATAGGTACACGAGTGGATGCGCAACTAAATTGTAATAATCTGAATACAGCTAAAATAGTAGACATAGGTAGTCAGACAAAATTATCAGAGGTTGTTAAATACTCTGATTTAATGCCTCAGTACACACACTCCACAGCTTCCTGTATACAAAGCATAAGCAATTGTTTGAACTACAAATTAACAAGACTGCCTTTGTTTTATTTCTCAGTGAAATCAATCTTGTCAGGGTATCATTTTAATGGAGCAGTTACACCCCAGGTGTTCCTAACCAGCTCAACAATAACTTGGTGCAAAGCTCACAGCTCTGAACAGATGCGAGCTCTTGGCTTACGGACCTGCCAAGGAAATAATCTGTAGTTTTACCATGCTGGGCTGTTCAATCCATTTTTACTTAGCTCTAGTTCAGAGAAACTAAGGGAATTCCCAAAATGCTTCTGAGGTGCTGCATGTTAACACAATCATAAATTAAATTCTTAACACCTTTTTTTTCTTCCCCTTTATATCCTCTCACAACCCTCCCACCCCCCACCAAATACTTTAGGGCACTAATCCCAAAGTGTTCCTTGTAACAGGCTTATATAGCAGAAAAAAACAGTTAGAGAAAATAAAGTTTTGGGGGTTTTTGCTACTCCTGAAGAATCAACTCCTTGAACTGCAAACATTCACTTATTCTTCCAAATACTAGAAAGGAGACCTGCTGATGTTACCAGCCAAAAAGGTAACAATTCCAATAGCTCCTCTTTGACCGAGATGCTTAACTAGAAGAGACACGTTCACACACTGCTGCTTATCCCAACACTCTCTATGGATACAAAACACAGGAGTAAACATGTTGGAGAAGGTTGATAAGTAAAAGCTAGCAAGGGAGAGGAAACTTAATTATAAAATGACTTCAACATAGAAATGTGGCATTTTTAGTTAAAAAAAAAATCATCACTCATCAACTATTTCTATCAATTTAATTTCCTTTACTGTTAGAAAACATCTCAGACATGAGGGGTTTAAAGTTCTTAACAATTAAAAATATCAATATTGTTAGTTTTGAAGAACCTGTTATCACATCTGCTAAAGCAGAATTGCACAGAAATGGTACTTTTGTTTTCAGTGTATGAACAAACCCATATTTTGCCCTATTGCTTGTATTCAATGAAAGTTATTAAATCAACTTCCACATTTCTGCTGCTAGGGAAGGGGGAAGAGCAATAGTGAGCAGGATGAGATCAAGAAGAAGAAGAAAAAAAAAAAAAGAGACCCCAAGGTTTATTTTTTAAAGACCAGAACTGTGGCAATAAGAATTGCCCTTCACACCATACCAACACTAGGCTTCCCAGATCTATTGAGGTGTAATTTTTGGAACCAAATCAGATCTCAACCATATCCAGACATTTGTCATTTTCACATTTGCATACGTTATTTGAATGTTAAAAAAACCCAGCAAAACCAGAAACCTTTGACCCACTTTACCATAAAATTTGCAGCAACACTGTAAACAGGCTCAAGTTAAGAACCCCCAGACCAAACTGTGAGAAACAATAGGAAATTTGAAACAAAAAAATCATTCTCTGAAATTAAATTCTTGGTTTTATCTATGCCAATTATTTTTCTTACGTTTATACACATCCTCTTTTGCACTCTCTTATTTAGAGTGTGCATTTACATGTTACTATATTAGCTTACAGAGGTACAAAGTTCTATTCACAACACTTCTGCCACAGAGCTAACAATAATACCTAAAAAAAATCTCAGCTCCTCAGCCCATATTCCAACTATACAGTTTTATGCCATTTTAATGTTAATATTATTAGCAATAGGTAATACATAGCATATCTTGTGCTGGTTTTGACTGGGACAGAGTTAATTTTCTTCATAGTAGCTAGTATGGGACTGTGTTTTGGATTTGTGCTGAAAACAGTGTTGATAGCCCAGGGATGTTTTAGTTACTGCTGAGCAGTGCTCACACAGAGCCAAGGCCTTTTCTGCTTCTCACCCCACCCCACCAGCGAGGAGGCTGAGGGTGCAGAAGGAGTTGGGAGGGGACACAGCTGGGACAGCTGACCCCAACTGACCAAAGGGATATTCCATACCATATGATGTCATGCTCTGTATATAAAGCTGGGGGAAGAAGGAAGGAAGCGGGGGGGGACGACACATGACACATTCAGAGTGATAGCATTTGTTTCCCAAGTAACCATTATGTGGGATGGAGCAATGATGAATGAATTCCTTGCTCTGCTTGCGTGTGCAGCTTTTGTTTTATGTATTACACTGTCTTTATCTCAATCCATGATTTTTCTCACTTTTACTACTCCGATTCGAGGGGGGTGGGGGGGTGGGAGTGAGCAAGCAGCTGCGTGGTGCTTAGTTGCCAGCTGGGGTTAAACATGACATATGTAAAAATGATTACGTGATCGAATATTTCCAGAACTTTGAAGCAAGCAGCTATCAATTACGATCTTTATGGCAACGTTTCATCTTTTTTCCTTCACACTAGCTCTGAAATGGATATGAAACAATATTTCATTATTTATCCATAGAATCAATAACATTTTTGATAAATTATTAGATGTATTTGTTTCGTGCTCCACATTCCTCTTGCCACCCTCATCACATCAGAGTGAGGTTATTCATTCTCTGTGGCTGAAGGTAAAATGTCTGTCCAGTACCAAAAATATAATTCACTATGATTAATGCTATCACTAACAAGAATTTGTTTTCTTGAAATAACACCATTCAGAATAGCAGTTCAGATAAGGCTAGGATGGATTTTTTTATCTATATTACAAAGTGTCCCTGATTTTGTTGACAGTTCTCTCCCCTTTTGAGAAAGCACTAGGTGCAGTGCACGTTCCGGCATTGCCAAGATCAACCACAACAGATGGATACTTTCAGCTGAATCCCGTAACTGTAAAATGTGGGGATGCTGAAGACATGCCAGAACCTGAGAGGGAGAGCTTTGATGCCTGTTTCATATGAACTATTTTACAACTTATTTCCACATTGTCTTTCTTGCTGAGCTCTGCTTCTTGTATAGCTACATTATTCTCTGAAATTCATCTTCTGCCATTACTATGTAATTTCCTGTTGAATAATAATGAGACCAATGCCAGCATACTCTGTGACTTTTCCATCAAAAGCTGCCGAAGTCTCCCAGTTAATAGTTTCGAAGTACAAGCATGTTCTAAGCAGCCTAAACAGGTATACCATTTGAAGAGTGCAGAAAGTTTTGCACTGCAAGCACACTGAAACCTGCAAATTCATATGCCTCATACCACAGGCAACACACTCAAAAATTAAAGAAAACAAAAAAAAGAAACAAACCGACAAACACACACCTGGATGAAGTTTTGCCCTCTAATTTTTAATTTATGCTAAAATGTTAAAACTGAAATATACATTGAAACCAAAACCCATCATAGGACACTGTAGGAAAAACACCCAAGAGTTTGGCTTAAAGTTTATACTACAATGAGATTTTAAAAATCCTTCAAGATAAGAAGACAACTAGGGACAAATCTCACAATGAACAGGGCAAATTTATTGAATCTCTTGGTAGAACTACTTTATTCAGTGGATGAGATAGGGGGGAAACCAGTTTAGGCATTTTGATTGGATTTTAGGGCCTTGTTCTGCAATTCCTGGCTCGCACCTGATAGAAAACTGCAATGAATGTGATAATGTCAAGATACAACAAAGGCAGAGTTTGTTTATTTTTAAATGCCACCCGCAGGAGAATTTTGTTTGTTTGTTTTGAGGCTTGGCAAACTCAAGTAACAAAGTAAAACTTTGTAGCCAGTAGGTTTAACCACATTAAAGCACAATCAAAAAAAAAAAAAATCCTCTTAATTAGCAGTCACCAGTTCCTACATCTTGTTTGAGACCTATTAAAACATAAGCAGATCTGTCAGAGAGGTACCCCGAGACATACCTAAGACACCATATTCAGAGAGGGAGCTGTTACACACTGTATAGGGGGCCTGCTGCTCCCAGAGGTGATTCATGGGAACACACGTTCTCTTGTCAACTTCTTGATCATGAAGCACATGATGACGATGGCTGCAAATAGGTGTTGAAAGAAATTTATTAGCTAAGAATAACTTTGGGCTTTAACAGAGCTATTTGCAAACCTATGTTCTAGAAAGCATGCAAGCAACGCAGTTATCTTTGCTTTACACAACAGCCTGGTTTGGTTGAAATCTAGCAATACCATCACGTGTCTAAATACAATTGCTGCATTATAACAACTTTCACTGACTATCCACGCTTGTTCTCAAGCACTCATGGAAACTGAAAATACCTCATCACTAGTAGAACTGGGGAGGGGGGGCGGGAAGATAGGGGAAGGTATAGGGAGGTTGTTGCTATAAAATAGACTGATCAAAGTAATAAATAAATAAATAAGAAGAAAAATTTTGTTATTAAAAACATTTCACTCTGCCTCCATGGCAAATTCTATTAATCTTTTCCTTAAAGCAACTGTTGTTTGGCTTTTATGCAAAAATTTAATCTAATCTCAGCACCAAGTCTTGAAGTAGTTGTATCCTCTTTCCTGGTATTTCCACTCACATGCACCATTTACAGTTCTCTAGAACACCATTAATCAGCATTAGAATGGGGCACCAAGGAACACTACCAAAACAGAGATGACTGAAGTAATTACTGTAATCCATTAACTCTCTGAGCAGACTAACTGAGTGAATCACACCAATATGTCCAACTTTACAACTGCTAACATAAGGACAGTTATTATACTGGTAACAGCTATTGTGTGTTGTATAGCTGCCAGCACTGAACTGAAGATTGAATCTTTTTGTACTTCCCTTTGCTATAATGAATGCTAGCGAAAAGAGCTCTGAAATGTGTTTAGAAGTCAACAATATAAGGCCAGGAAAAGACAATCTTTGGAGAACAGCTCAGGGAGGGAGGTAGATAGGGGAACATACACACACACCCCAAATAGCTGTTAGGCAGAAATAATTTTTGCCACTGTCATTTTATTTTTGTCATTCAGCCGAAGATACAAGGTCTAGCTAGGCAATAAGCTTCTTGAGCATGAACTTTTGTGTTTCCCCAGCAAAAGGTGATTGCAATGAGCATAGATGGGCAGCCAGAAATACGCAGACATGCATGTCAGATTTTGCTGTTGCGCAATTGTCAGGTTTACTGACATCAAACCAGCACAGAATCAAGTCTCTCCCTCCCCCTTCCCTTCTCCAGAGTGTGTCTCCAAGAAGAGAAGGGGCCCGGGCCTATCTGCAGCTTTATCTAGCTTCTGTCTATTGATAACATGGAGTACTGAAATAGGAAGAAAGCAAGTTGTCACACTGAATACTGACAGAAAGTACTATTTTCTAGACAGCACTTCAGAAACTCTAAAGTAACGAAAGCATTCCCCATCATGTTGTTTTCATAACGGCAACGCAGTGACTTCAATTCTTCCCAAATTCTAGCTGATACTCCCTCTTCAATTAGTCCCAGAGATTTGAGACATTATGTACTTCAAGAACTTTTGGGGGTAAGGAAGGGTCTTCTCAGTACAGCGAGAGGATAAAATGACATATACTTTCTATGTGTTTACAATCTGTTTTTTCCAATAAAACTGCACTAGCATTTGCAAATGTCTTCAGTTGTTAGGGAAGTTGCTCAGCTTTATTATAAATGACAAAGAAACCAAACCACAGCTGAAAAAGAGCAGCTTTACTGAGAACTGCAGTACCTCTAAGATGTGTTTGCACCACAAGTTAACTTTTCTACTCATTCTTCTGACGAAATGAGCCTGAATACAGTATAACAGGCTTAGACATTTCTACAGTGTTCTCTTCTATTTGACAGAGTAGTTGAATGTTATCTGGCTTCCTTGGGTCCAAGCCATTTTTTTAATCTCACCCTTTATTGTTCAACTGCCATATCACACTCATAACAAAAACTCATAATCATACCACAGGCTAGTATTTTGTAGATTCCACTACTCATCAGGCAAACTGAAAACCCAGCGGTAAAGCAGAATGAGGTTACTGTAAGTCAAACATCTGCAGTACCAGCTTCAGTCCTGACCTTCACAAGAATTTATTTGAATGCCTTTTTACTTCTTTTCCAAAAGACTGAATAGTAAAATCCAGATGGCAAAAGAATCCTTAGCTAGTCTTCGCCAGTCTGAATAGTTTTTTATTTGAACACATTTTTTCTTTTTCCCCCCCTATATTGCTGTGAGCACAACAATTATTTTTGCTTAAACAAACATCAAGAAAATCTGGACGATAGTTCCAGAAAATCCTCTTCCACCAGGGAGAGAACTGGGAATACAGAGAATCAGTAGTCGCAAGACAAGTCTATAGACGTGCTCTAGCCATGACTAAGCACTCACCTGAGAAGGGGGGTATGTTGCTAAACAATGAACATGTGTGAATCAAGGTTGGGGGGATCTCCCCATTTTCAGTTTTGTTTTCAGGTCCCGTCTGAAGGATTTTGTTAAACTGCCATTAGAATGGGAGTAAACAGAAGAAAACCCAACAAGACTGGATACCAAATGAAGCTCAGCACAGGAACAGAGCACTGTACCAGAGAAGGCAGGCACCAAGATTTATCTCTCTCTCTTGCAAGCATTCACAATGAAGCACAGTGCAGCTGCTAGTTCATTCACCCCCAGCAACGGGCTTTGCATCAAAGGCTTCAATTAAATACATCATTAACATTTCACTCCACAGAGAATCAGGTAAGGCAGCAGAACTGTATACATTTTTACCAAGTGATCTGATTCTGCATTCATTCATGCTCCATAGCCATTAAAATTCTCAGTACAAAGGATCTTGTTTCACTTAAAAAAGCCTTGCCAACTGGCAATGTGTTTGTTCACAGGACACCCGAGTTCCAAGGAGTCACCACTGGAATGGTATTTAAAAGACTTCAGAATCTGCAGCAGCAAATACCCTTCTTTTACTTCTCAGCAATTAGATGGACTTCAACTGAATTTTTAGTTAAAAAGCAGAAAAAAAAAATAATTTCTGCTTTTCAGCAAAAGAAGGAAGAAAGTATCTAAGAACATTTGATCTACCTTAAATACAATTCTTTAAAATGCTGTTTACAGAGACACAGGAGATTTGATTATTCTTGACTGCCAGAATCTATAACATCCAGATTGATGCTGAATAGCCTCAATGTCCCCTTCCCTGCAGAAGATCATATTGTTTAAAAAATGTGAAGGTTTTTAAGTATGGCACAGCATTTAACAATTATCTCAGTACTTACCTAAAAGTACCCCTCTCCACATCCTGTCCACTTAGTCGGACATGGATCCCTTCTTTCAGAAAAGAGCCAAAAGCCATGTATTCTGCTAAGGCCCAGTCAACAACCCTGTTCTTGGTCATTTCCAGGCGGGCTCTCAAAATCCGAGAGAGTCCTACATTGGAATAAAGATCAGAAATCGATGGACCTCCTTCAGAGATATTTCATATTCACATTACATTCACCATTCTCCTTCCCCACTAGCTAAGTTAAACACAGATCTTTTTAGGATCTACAAATTGTTCTTCTAGAATTGAACCGCTAGCAAAGTAAAATAATTTGTTTCCCAGACAAAGGGTTGCATAATGTTCATACCTTGTTTTAGAGGAAGAAAATAAGATTGGCTGTGTCAGAAACTACTGAGGACAATTAAAAAGACTCATGGTGAAATACTTCTTAAAGATCTATTTTCACATCTCTAACAGCAAGTATTGTTTTATAAGAGATTAAAGCCATCAGCTATTGGGTTTGTGATTTTTTTCTTCTCTCTTTCTCTCTCTTTTCTTGGCATTTGTCTTATTGGACTTCTGGACGTGTTACAAAGAGAAACAGGCCAGATTAATCAATACTATGAATATCATATAAATAGGAAATTGTAGCAGCTGCCAACAGATTTTCAGTTGGTAACCAAAAGCTGGTTTTTTTTACAGTAAAGATTTTATAACTCGATAAGCCAAAACACAAGTTGCGACACTATAACTTTTAAAGGGAATAAAACTTCAAAGCTGCACATGGGTGCTTCCAGCTTTGGGGCTATAAGCCTAGTTTGTTTAGTGTCACTTGACACCATCTTATTTTCACATATGCACTGATGCTTTTGGCAAGCTGTTCTATTTGATATTTTCCCATACTTCCCTTTGTTACTTTCCCCATTTTTACAAAAAATCACCCTGTTTGCTTTCTACATAAAACTATTCTGTCATCAAGATTATTGCATTTTAAGTAAAAAAAAAAAAAAAACCAACTTGAAAGTTTTCTCTTTAGAATATACTAAACATTTGATAAAACAAAATAATCTTCCAATTGTTTGTTGAAAGACTGCTAGAGATAAAGCTGTTTCGTTCTAGTGGAAGGACAAAGTACTTCAAAGGTGCTCTTCCCCTTCTAATTCTCCCAAAATTTTCTCTTTCATGGCCTTTTAAACTGCATAAAAGAATCTAGCAGACCAAAGTTTGCTTTGAACCATAAATCCATCTTATATTCTGGCAAGTGTTACTTAGTGTCAATGGTTAATCAAGTTACTAAAGAGAGACTGTCTTACTTTTTTAATTAGAATGTCTACTAATAGATTTTATTGGCTGACTATAATTTCAAATTTATCAGTGTCACAATAAAGTGCACAAGTGTATAGAAGAGTTTTAATGTTCATCTAGTAATTGTATCTGCTCAACAAACCTGCAATTGATAACTGGGAATGCCCTATCAATATTACTTTTAACAGTGTTTAATTGTCCCCAAAACACACAAACACATAGTATATGTACAGCAGACACACTTTATTCCTTGATGGATGCCTCTGGAGAAGAAAGATTAGCTAGAGATTTTATTAAGAAAAAAAAAAAAGCTCTTTCTCCTGATCCTAAGTACACTCCAACATATCAGCAACAAAAGAAAAAAGATCCCCAAACAAAGCGTCTCCATGTTTCCCTATGGAATGAACATGTTATTGCTCCCTGTAGAGCTGCTAGACTTCAACCTGACCAAGTAGTAAAGAATTAACTCAGAACTTTGACACAGTGCCAGGTGCTCCCCAGTGAGACAGGCACATTTAACTTCTTACTGTAATAGATGCCAAATTCAGAATTGAGTCTCTTCAGACCAAAAGCTAAGACTTTGAGAAAACACTAGATTTATACAATCATCAATGCTAAATGGTAAGTTGAGAGGAAAACTGTATCTGAATTTGCCCACACAGAGTCCATTCAGCTGTACTAAAACTAGGCTCATTGTCAGCAACGTTGCCAGGTCTGAAAAGACCAAGCTATATTCCTGAGTAGAAAGTTATCTAACAAGAAGAAAACTCTCTTAAGTGGACCTCAAATTACCACTGGTTTTAGCATTAAAAGACCCATTAATAGCACTTCCTGAGATGGGCACCTTACTTCACAGTAAGTCCCACAAACATGCTGCATAGTGGCAGCATTTTCCACAAGGACTTGAAGAATGAAAGGAGGTATTAACTTAATGTTACAAAGAGACTTCTACCTCCCTCAGAGGAAAACCTATTTTAATGAGGTAGGGAACAGAAGTGGTGTGATACTGAAAGAGCATTACGCTGAGAACAAGCAGCAGGACCTTAAATGTCACATTCTCCTTGCCCAGAGGGTGGAAGAGTTAAAATAAAAGTCACAGGCATTTTCCTCTTTGGGAAATAGCCCAACAGCAACTCGTGTGCAGAAATATAAAATCTGAGCAAGAAACGTAGCCACTAGGAGAAACAAAGACTCCAGCTGACCTGCATGTATTTTGAAGTCTTTGACTGGCACTGAACTAGCTACGTTGCCAATGTGAGTCAGCAGGTCTTCTGAAATGCCAGTTGGAGGACAAGACATGCTCTTGGGTTCTCCATCCACGTTAAAGAACCCTGGAAGTAAAAGATTTGGTGAGAGGTTCAAGGAGTGATTAAGAGATATCTACACGATTTACAATTTATTTAAAAATTCACAACTCTTCAAAGACATTCCAAGCAGCAGCCTAAACCTAGTTTGTCACCTTTCACTGAGAGAAACAATTATTCTGATTGTCTGCATGACAAGAGAACTTGACCTTACAGGCACAACACGATCTGTTTTGTTTCTGCTTTCACTCCCTGTAAAGTCCAACTATGTCGGCAGAAGCTGCCAATAAAAGGTGCTCAATCCCCCCACCCCACCCCCCCCAAAAAAGGGGGGAGTATGAGACATACTCCTTCTTCCTGAAGGCACAAGACAGTTATTACAGGAAAACACTTCTCTGCTAAAGTGAAAAGATGGCATTAGACGTCTTTTTCAAAGTCACACCTTACTTTTTGCATGTTTTTTTAAGAAAAGCACCTCTTTCAAGTAGATCTGGCAGAATGTTTTATTTACTATTAACAGGGGCAAAACAAAGGTCACATTTTATTTTAAAGGAGCAGTCTGATAAAAACCATTTAAGAGTTCTATAATATGAACTCGAAATAAAAGCACAGTAATATTGACACCAGGATAAGTGAAAGGACACTTCTTACCAGGCCAAGGTGAATCAAGCCAGTGCTTGATATGTAGGATCTTGTTATCCTTAGATCTAGTATATGCTTCTTCACATATTCTATCATACTTTGCAATTTCTTCCTGCAGAACAAAAGCTTTCTTTTTAAAATGGATAAACATAACCCCTTTGTATCTTACAGATGACATCTACCATACAGTATGATAAAAAGTTGCTTAACTCCAGAAGAAAATTTACTTACAGTTATGCAAACAAACAATTTCATTTTATCTAGGATCAAATTACCTTCTAGAAACAAGCTTGCCCACATTAACCTAAATAAATTATTTAGTTTATTGGACAGGTGTTAGAATACTAAGAGCTGAAGTTGCAAGCAGTACTCTAGAATGAGACAGAACTGAAGTACCAAATATAGTTTACAGTCATACTTCTAAGATCAGCACTATCCAGCTCTCATACTTCACTATACAGAAGCCACTAAAGACTAGAAAAGAACTTTTAAGAAAACTAGTCTGGCTAGGAGAGTTTAGCTAAGAATCCGCTGGCTACACCTATTAATGGCAAGAGTTACAAAGCCATATTCTGTAGAGGCGGAATCCCTCTACAATATCTATGTTTCAATCCAAAACCATACCCAAGTTACCGAGCTAGCTAATCTTTAAAGTAGTTAACAGCAATGTTGAGCTCAGTCTGCACAGCAAAACATCCATCCAGGATCCTGATCCAGCCACCAAAGCCCATGCCACTACTGGCACACTATTACGACAATTCAGGATAGCTAGTTCTGCATGAGCTGTGATCATTCTTGCAGATAACTGAATGCACCTACATGAACAGCTTTTTTGTTGATCTGCAATACTGTGTCACTACATAGCTAGCCCCACCTTCTCAGAAGGTCCTTTGTTGCATCTGCACCCTACACATTCCCTTTTAAAAAGATTAAGTTAAAGATCTAAGCAGCTTAATACAAGCACCAGATTCTACGCTTCATCCTTCCGGAATATTTCAAGTGATCTCTGAACTTAGTTGAATCATTGCAAGAAAATAAAAAGGTTAAATTGATTTTATTGCATTACTGCTGGATATAAGCCTGCCAAGGTTATCAATGTGAAGCTACACAGTTACACCTACAAGCATTCAAATACTGTCTTACTGCTGAATCAAGATTCTAGAGATGAAGAAGAGCAGCTGACAAATGCCTCTATCTCCAACATTCACATCTGATCACCTTTTACAAATCTCAGAACTGAAGCATTTTTTCTGTGCAGGATGTCTTAATTACTTCACAGCACTTTCAGTCTTTTTGTTACAATGATACTATCTATTTTACATTAAAATCCAAACCAAATTGAATCAGAAAGTGTCAAAGGGTGAAGACTCATCGGAGTAATGAAAGGAAGGTTTTTAAGTAGACAGCATACAGTGACAGTTGCGTCTTCCTATTGACAGCTTCTTAAGTTCCCTTCAACTCTGTTGTCACGTACCTCAAACTCCTGCAGTGTTACAGTCCCATCTGCAATCAGTTTGTCAGCATACTTCTTTAGCACCGGCACCTGTTTATGAATCTGCTTGTACATTAGAGGCTGGGTGAACATCGGTTCATCCATTTCATTGTGCCCTCTCCTACGGTAACAAACCTACAAAGGGGAAGATTGTTTCTGTTGGTAAGGAAAAATGTACAATGAAATCCTTCAATCTCAGAGGTTTACAGAGATTTTAGGAGGTTTAAGATATAAAAACATTTATGGATTTTTGGGGGGCCGTTCATTGTTAGTTTTTTTTAAATGAAGAAACTAAAGGCCATTCAAAACAAAATATGTTTCTTGACCGGGTCTTCTAAGCCACAAAAAATAAGAGAGTACTACATAACACACAGAATGAAAAGTTAAGAAAACCAAGACTTACCAAGTCAACCACCACATCTTTATTGAATGTGTTTCGCCATTCTGCAGCTACACTGCACACATACATCACTGCTTCAGGGTCATCAGCATTTACATGAAAAATGGGAGCATTGACCACACGAGCAACGTCAGTAGGATATGGAGAAGAACGGGCCATACGGGGGTCTGTGGTGAAGCCAATCTAAAAATTCCAGAAACTTCCATGAAAATGTGGGCACCTCCCTCTACTTTGTTTTGAACGCTTGAGGTTTTCATTTAATAGTCATTTACACAGCAGTTGTATCAGCTTTTCATTTGGGCTAGCTAGCTTCTTTTTGCTCCGTTAAAGACAAAAAAACCCAAACCTAATCCAATTAGGCGTTATAAATGGAATTAAATAAATGTAGGTGATAAAATATTATCCACTCAAAGTTGCTAGATACTATGATCGCTTTCAGGAACATCCTAACCATTCTAATAAATGGAGGGGACAATGCACCCAGCTAATAACAAGAATAAAACAAAATACACTAGCAACTCTTCAGCAGACAATTTTTTTGGAAAATGCTCTACTCGTTACCTGGTTGTTGACCACAACGTGAATAGTGCCATTCGTGGTGTAGGATGGGAGGTCACTAAGATGAAACGTCTCGTAAACCACTCCTTGTCCTGCAAAGGCAGCATCCCCATGTAATAATATGGACATAACCTAAGAGGGAGGATTATACACACACATCCACACATATATTAGAAAGCAAAACTGCAATTTAAGCTTCTCAACAGGATTTCTTTGCTCCATATTTCTGTAGTGCTTATAAAACAGAACTGTATTTTTATAATAAACCATAGACTTGTCAGCATTCTGCTGCCTTTGCTCAGTTTGCAAATGAAAAAGTTTTAAGCCTACTTCCTGAAGTTACTGTTGAGGTACCCTGTCAAAAACCTTACCTAGTTCAACAGGTGACATATCCCTTTTGTGAAGGAGGAAGAGAGGAAGATTCTGCGATACAAAAGTACTGGTAAAATATTTTTATTAAAAATAATATGAAAAACTACTGGTAAGAGTCACTATATTAAAAAAATTTTTACCTTTTTCCCTGCCGTATCTCCTCGATAAAACTGTTCAGCTTTTGTCTTCCCTTGCACAACAGGATCAACTGCTTCCAAGTGAGAAGGGTTAGCCATCAGCGACAGAGTAATTTTCTTGTTTGTTGCTCGGTTGATCCTCTCATGGTACATTCCCAGATGATATTTTACATCCCCAGATCCCTAACATGCAAGATGTAGTTACAGTTCAGGAATGGCATTCATAGCAGCTGCAGCCAATTGAGTAAGCCTAAAATTTGTACTTCAGTTTGAAAAATGCATCTAGCTAACTATATATCAGTATGCACTATGGGTTTGACACCATAATTTCAAACTGGAACACTGTTCCTATTTTTTTTATCTTAGTGTCACTATCCAATATTGGATAAATATTTACAAAATACTGATACTTATTTCATTTATATAAAACAAAGAAAAATGTTTAGAGATTATGAACTCAGTCAAATGACCTGGAACCTACTTATCTACAGACATTCCTATGACACCTTCTGCATGTTAGAGGTACAGTATAGTCTTCAAATTTGTTAAGAAATTTCACCAAATCATATTCCTCAAACTAGAAAAGATGACAATGCATTTCAGCAGCTATTTTCATAATAACCATGACCAAAATGACTAAAAACTACCTTGAATGTTGACCTGTCTTTATAGTAGTTTTGAAGAAGCATCTTACCTCATCAGCTGCTTCAAGTTTGGGATCAAACTGACAGAAGATCTGCTCCAGCTCTTTTCGGATTACGTTAGCCAATACGTTCAGCCTACCTCTGAGAAAATTCCAAACATAGTTATGTCTCAAAAATGTTAATAACAGAGTTAACAGCATAAAACTTATAAAATCAGCAAGTCATCTCTGTCAGAAACTTGCAAGTAAGAAGTTCACTTCAAACTTTTGAACCTGAAACCCTTCATTCTACCCTGCTTCTCCCATTCCAAAGTTCCTCCAGTGCATTTGCACACATTTTATAGCACCTAGCTATCCGAGTATGAGCAATGAATTTTGTAGCTATCTAGCAGTTTTAACACGATGACATTAATAATTAAGGCAGACTGCAAAAGAAAGTTTTTGATACTACCTTGCCAAGCTTTCTCAGTTCTAGACTCTATGCAATAGGATAGATACCATGGCTGCTGTCAAATTTGCTTGCAGCTTCAAAGTCCACTGAAGAGAGTTTCGCTAGCATTTATCTGCGAAGCGGGTAGCCTCTCACTGACAGGTACTTGTCACAGTTCTGTGATACCATTACTCGCTATGACTGACTCTTGCTACCCTAGCTTCTGCAATATCAACTTTGTTAATAAAACTCTAGAACACAAAACTTGTCTTAGGACAATAAAAGCCCATTTGTTGGGGGCTTTCCATTGACATTACCTATGAGGCATCCCCATTATAACATATTCAATTCCCATTTCGCTGGATTTATCAATGATGGTCTTAAGTGCAGGAATCATTACTTCGCATCCTTCCAAACCAAATCTCTTTTCGGAAGACCACTTGCGAGCAAGGAAGTCTTCAAATCTTTGCCAAAAAGAAACCAAAAAAAAACCAAGAGAGTTTTCGTATTAAGATAATGTAGAAAATATAGAAAATACTTACTGACAAACATTTTTTAGCAAATAAAATTACATTACACTGTTTTAAAATATCTGTGAAAACATGTTTTTAAGCCTCTGGAAGTGAGTCACATGTTGGGAGGGAGATGTAGGAGACAAGTCTTTCTCCTCCATCTGAGAAGTATTTACCAGCACTTTGAAACAATTCAGACAGGAAGAAGAGTCTCCACCTTAGACAAAATTCACTTCCCAAGTTAAACTCTGCTCCTTCCCATGTATACAAAATGTATACTGGCCACTGGGAAGGCAGAGGAACAGCAAAGAAGTCTCTTCTATGGATTGAAGAAGACATAACAGAGAACCTGTATTTTCTGGAAGTAACAATTAAAAACTTGGAGAAACACAGTTGAGAGCGCGCCTATTTCATAGGTCCTATTCAATGGCAAGGCTCCTCAGACTGCGTGATGTAACAGCTGGTAATGTGCCAAGAGCTAGGACACTGGTATCTTTGCCTCAGCTGCAGCAGAAGAAAGATGTCAATCCTTGACAACTCTATGTTCTTTCATTCTTTAATGCATTTGGGCCAGAGGCAATGTGAGTGGCTAAAAAGTACCTTTTAACAAATGCTGAAAAGATTACATGTTGTAAAGCTTGGAGATACAAAAGGCAAAGAAAATACATCTTCATGAAAACAACTGTATTGGTTACATCATCTGTGCGATGCCTTGACTCATAACATTGCCATAATCCATTAATACTCCAGCTTATTCCTCACTTAGAATGCTGATATTTACCTGTTTAGGTTGAAGTCCTAAAAGCAGTGAAATGAAGAATTGCCAAAAGACTCCTTATCTCACCCACCAACACCCTTACAACTCAGGCATCTAAGCAACAAGGCAGGCCCTCAGCTGAGCTATGCTGAAGCTGAGCTATGCTTCCTCGGGGAAGTTTGCAGGGCTATGCCAGTTTATATAACCTGAAAGTGGGGTCCCATGTGAACAGCAAGTCCTACAGGGCAAATCAAAGTGGTGGCTGTACACACTATTTTCCTCCTCTTTGCAGCTGCACGTTAAGCCAGTACTGATCAAGCAGAAAGTTCATTATTTGAGGCAAACTGCCACTAAGTGTGCAGAACTACAGTACTTCACAGTCACATCTTCCAAGTCCCCCATATGCCACTGTGCGTTCACGAGGGTTGGCAGCTCATCCGCTGTCACTGCATGTGTTCAGTACCCAACAAGGAGCAAGTCTTGTGAAAGATGGTTACTCTCAGAAGGGATAATCTGGAAATGCTTGACCCTGGACAGGCTTAAGAAGTTGCCCAGATCAGACTACACAATCAGGGTCTAACATGTTTACTAATGCATACACAATGTAGCTCAAAAGATACACAATGAGTATTTTACAGGAGGAAGAATTAAAAAAAAAAATGACTCTTTGTTCAATAATCTATCAGTGAACACCACAAAGGATGAGAAATCCTACTTTAAAAATAATTTTCAAGTACCTGAAGTATGCTGTACTTGGAATGAACACTTTTGAAAACAGTATTCTTGAGCAAAATCACAACTATCTGCTTTACAAAGCCACAAATCTCAAGAGCACAACCAGTTTTCCATAAAACCAGATTTTTTTCTTGATCATTTTCAGACAAAAAAAGCACACTAGAGACAGCTGAACAGAAATACATGTAAAACTTTTTTCTTCCATTTTCAGCAGACAATTAATTTGGGAGAAGATGAACATTTGGCTCCTTCATGCTACTAGAAACCTCGGATCTTTCCACAGCTCAGACAGGCAGGAATAAATGCACAAATTCTTGTCTCAAGATAAATGGAGATGGCTCATACTGAGGGCTTGTTAAACAAACTTTCTCAAGTGCAATATTCATTTGACCATTAAGTGACTTTTTTATTTCTGTGTAAATGAAACTTTTAACCAGACAAACAATCTTGCTATAATATTGGCAAACAAAATCTGGCAAAAATATCTTCCAGCACCTCCAAGAAACACTTCATTTTTAAGTCTTTGAACATAGAAGCTTAATAAAAAAATATGTCTTTATAAATCTCTAACTCTTTGTTTATCCAAGGATATGCAAACTGTTTCAGATTGTAAGAACTGTAATAAATCTTGTGCCTGAGAAGACAGTCTTGTCCTGGGGGTGAGAGGGTAATTCAGTCTCTGGGATGACAGTATTTCCATACAGATAGCCACAATGGGAGAAATCAATAAGCTGTTTCCAAATGTGCTTTCATATATTGCAGAGACCAAAACTACTGCTGCCAGGCCATGCAACAGTACAGCACATCTTGGCATACCTCAGAAGGAAAAGGGCAAATACAGGACTTGAAATCATACTACACCTCTCAAATCGAGTCCCACCTTGGCACAGCTTTCCAAAGAGACTGTTAGCATCCCAGCGAGTCAAACAATGCTCATGCCAACGTTTCACCCATCTAAAAATTCTCTGAGAGCTGACTATTAGGATGGCTTCCTTTGATCGTATGCTACTAGAAAGATGCACAGTAGCTAGAATATAGCAGAATATCAGTATCTAATGTTGTTCTGAAACAGGTTATGAATATTTAACACAGATGGATATTACTAGCCTGTTGAAGTAATTTTTCCCAGTTTATCTCCACAAGCCAATGCAAAGATTGCCAGATATGCCGCTAAAGGCTGCACAAGTGTTACAGAACACAACTTGCCTTTCAAGAAAATAGAATGTTAAAAGTCACTACACAGACCCTGACATATCTCACAGCACACACTTTCTTTTCATATTGCCACCAAGTTAACTACACCCACGTGCGCTCCAGATTTCACTTGGACTCTTCACCTCCAGCTCAGCAGTTTACAGACCGCACCAGCTTACACTCAGCAGTCACAGAGCAGTTTCCCAGCACCACCCCAGCATACCTCATTGAGCGCACCAGCCTTGCCAACAAAGTCCTTTTTTCCTCATTAGTAAACTTCATCACTCCTGGAGTCTCAAACTTCTGCCGGATCCACTGGCACTGCTCCACATCATTGATGAACATAAACTCCAAGCCAATGTGTTGGCAGTAGGTATTCTAGGACATGAAAACACCAACGTGGAAGCTTTAGGAGTTAGTGCACCATTTAGAAAACATATTTTTTAAAATGTATTTTCTATCTATATTATTCTGTTGAAAGCTATCTTGTCTTCTTCCTCTTCCACTATATCTTCCCCACAGTAATCCTGTAAGTGAATAAATTATTTTACTGAATCTAGTTTTGTGCCAGAAAGCGTTCTCCACAAAGTAACATTTCAAAATTTTGAATCTGGAAGATTCTCATTTGGTAATGCATTCAAAGTAGGCCAATAAACCTGCCTTAAACTGAATGGCAAATTTCACCTAACTCACTATTGTTCTTACAAGCATGATAGTCTTTTCTTTAGGTGCACTAGCAAAGATTTCAAGTCATTTATCAAGATTTACCCTGTCTTTTTAAAACGTCACCTGAAATCAAGCAATAAAGACAATAAGACAACAGCTATGAAGCCTCATGCAAATTATCTGATAACTGTCAAGGCTCAGAAGGATGGAAATCTGGAAATCCAAGCAGCTGAGAGCAGAGAAAGGACAGGGAAAAATGCAAAGACACTTCAGAAATTTTATCTCCTTGTTGCAATTTTATTTTTCTTTTTCTTACCTTAAAAAGAATATTTCACCAGAAAAATGTGTCCAAAATACAAGTCAACAGAAGACAGACGTATGGAGAGTTTGATTTGAGACAAAACCACTCTGAACACATACTATGTGCTCTCTATTGCTGTTACTGATTTTGTCCATTTATTCACACATTACAATTTTAAGGATTATCTCTTGAAAATTGCTGCACAGACATACTAGAAGGGCAAAAACCAAAAAAGCAAATATAGAGCTCAAATGCACAACAGAGCTGTTGTGGCTTAACAACTTACTATGCTTCAGCTAAGCCGATGTAACAGTCAAATGTGCAAGTCAACACATTCTGTCACACTTGCAACAGGTCAAAGCCATGAACTCTTGTACGCTCAGTAATTATTTTATTTTTACATGCTTGTAACTCAGTTCCATATTTCATCCTTTAAAGCATTTCCTCACCCCTAGCCCTTTTTACTCCAATGGATTTCATTACCATGCAACAGAAGTCTCTACAACTTCAGTACTCCAAAATCAAGGGAAAAGCACAATCGGGAATATCCAATACTTACTAACTCAGTAGTTGACAAATTCATTACCATTCCTACTTGCTGTTTTGATATTTGGAATTCTCCTCTAATGATATTTATTCCTTTAAATTATTTTTGCTTTAAATTATTTTAGCTTTGATGACTTCACATGGCATAACCATATCGCCTGTCAGATAATGAAACTCTAGAAAAAAGGATTGGGGATGGAAAACAAGGACCATTACTATCTACAAGCTACAGCTGGGCTTTCATGAATTTGGTACCCAACCTTCATATTTTTACTCAGGTAAAAGTCTCACTAAAGCTAGGCCTCTGAAAGCAACCCCTGCATGTCCCGAGTACTGTATGCAAAGGTGTTTTAACCATGGTAGGACACTTAAAAGACAACACTCTACTCCTTTTAAACAACATCAGCTCTTTACAGAACTAGGGCCTGAATTAGTATCCTACTATATTCACCTCTCTTATACTCATCCTTAACCTATGTATTTCAGATATCCGGGCAATGAAACTAATGGTGCTGCCACCTCTAGAAACAGCACAAGGGTTATTTTTAATGTCATTTGAATTCTTTATATGCTCTATTAATAATTGACGAATGATAAGTTTTTTGTGACTGACAATTGGAAAAAGCTCACTTCTGTTTGGACAAAAACAATCACAAATCAAAAAACATCCCACTGACCTCCAGCCGTTTGATGATCTCTCGTAAAGAAAGACTGTTCTCATTTCCTCCTATGAAGGTGGTTGTAGGCAGCTGAAAGACTTTGTCCAAATCGGATTCATGCAAACCATAAAACCCTACAACAGGTACATTATCAATTTGTGAAGCAGGGCAGAAGACAAAAAGGAAACCACCGCTGTTTTTTAAACCACCACAAATTAATTTTAATAAAGCAATATTAAGAAAGAATGTACCAGATTAAAAATTGAAAGTGTGAATATTTTGGAGGCATCCTTTAGTACAATGCTTTTTAGTCTGGATTTTAAAAAGAAATGTTTTAATTAGTTATTGTTTGATTAGAAGTACCAAACCATTCTTTCTTAAATGCTCAAATAGAACAACTGAAATTAAAATTGCCCAAACCTTTTTATATTTTAACATATTAACATATATGCCATCAATTTTCCTATATCTTGCACTTTGCTGTTTAGTAAAATAACTAACTGTAATGATTGGGATTTCTTCTTTGGTCTACCATGAGCAAACACAAAAAGAACCACTCTTCACAGACAGAACCAGTTGGTTGGAAGTATACAAGATTAATTTAAACATTAACAGAAAGACTAAGAGCAAATACAGAACATGTTCAATGTAACGCTGTGCAAACACTCCGGTAGAAGTTCCAAGGTATCTCTACTTACCACCTTTCTCTTTACAGGGAAGTTAGTTTGAAATAGCCATGTAATGACCTGTACAGCTCTATTTCACAACCAGTCACCTCTTATAAAACAGGCAGATGTACACACACACTCACCAACTAAAGCAAAGGCTTGTTACTATATCGTCCCATCTTCATTTAGACATATCTAAACTTGTTCTGACTGAGAATATGGTTCAAAAGCCAAAATACACAACAGGCAAGACTGGTATCAATGCAAGTTAAAGGCTTTGCACAATAAAGTTTAATCTAGACCTGTTAAATGAAGAAAGGAAAAACAGCTTCTTACAGTTGTAAGAAGCAATGTGTAAAACTTAGAATACACATTACATACAGTTATAGAAACTTATATACACATAAAAATTATATATGTGTGTGTGCTCATGTAAAAATATTTTAAAAACTAAAAATAGCTCCCTACTTTTAATTTTGAACTCTTTACCTTGTTTCCAGATAAGCTGCAGGCATCCACTTTAACCTTGATATGACAGCCTGCACATAACTCTCAAATCAATATAGAATAGTGCTCCACATTTCCTGTTAAATGAATTTTCTGAAGATGAAAGCGCAGAAGCAATTTAAAGATGAAATAACGGAAATTAGCATTTAGAGTTGAAGTCAGGCCATAGGACTGCATTGCCACCACTTATACTATACAGCTCCGTCAGTAATAACAAACTTTGGTTTAAAAATTAATATATTTTAAAATATTAATTTTGTTTTTAATAATATATTGAAATGTCAAATCTTGAGTGACCAAAAAAAAGTGTTTGTGTACCACTATTTCTCCTTTTTGGTACTGTAACAGGTTTTCCCAGTACCAAATTAATTCTGGTTTTGTATAATGCTAAAAAACCCAAACCAAACAAAAAAGGAGGAAAAAAAGGAGGAGGGGGTAGGAACACAGGGAATGACAGGGAGTTTAGCATAATTTGAAACAAAGCTGGGTGGGTTTTTTTTTCCTCTCCTTTGCTGCCTTTCTCTCAGACTTCACAGGCTCTTCATGTTCTTTCATGCAAAAACCAGAACACACGCAGTCGTGATTTGGGCACATGCAGAACATCTGTGCTTTGTACTGCAGCCCTGCATATTTAGTGAAGCATAATCTCATGTTTAAGGAGACACAAACTTACTGAAACCTAAGAGCTCCTGAAAGCAATTCTATAACTTGAATCATGCAGTAGGTACACCTGTAACTACCTGCATTTTAGAAGCAACTCCCAGAAGGAACTTCCTACCAGAAGGTTTCTCAAAAAAGAAACCAGAAGATGGGACAAAGAAAATGCACAGAAAAATCAAACACTAAAATACTTTCTGTACTACCTGAGACCTTCCATAAGTTTCCTCCCTGGAACATTCAAGGATAGGCAGCATTTCAGCTCCTTCTCTTTTTTGCTGTGCCAAGACTAGGTTAGAAATTTTGTTTCCCATCGCAAGCGGAAGTATCACCTCAGTTACACAGTTACACTCCCAGACACATCCCCCATCTCATTCAGAGGTCTAGCATATTTTTCCTATGCTCATGAGAACTTCAGTATGATGCCTTCTGACCAGTCACAACACTGTGCTAAACTGTCTATAGAGTTTAAAGAAACATGTACTGATGTGCTAGCAATCACCCATGCTCCAAACAAATTATATTTACTCAGCAAATGTCTAATGTATTTTCTAGTAGATACTTTCCCGTAATTAAAGCTGACAAACTTCAAAGAGAACCCCTGATTTGTGTAAGCGCCTCTCTATTTACAGTCTTAAGCACTCCACTGCCTTTATATGATCAAGGGTCAGAACTGCTTCTTTTCCTACCACCAGAAATAGAAAAGCCAGCAGCAAAGAGGCAGCAGAAGTACTTCCAGTAAGATTAAGCAGAATGTGTTTTATCTACTACTTGCACTATATTTTATGTCTGGTCCAAAAAGCTTCCCTACATATCAAAGAAAAATTGATTCAGTGTCTTTATCAGGTAGAAAACCACGCTTTAAACATACAAGGGAGATTGAAGAGTAGAGAAAAAAAATCAATCAGATGTTTTTTTATTCAAGCAGAGAGGAGCAAAGAAATTGATCTGTGCAATTTCTCAAAGACATGCCCTCTTAGCAACCTCTGCTAAAGCAAGCCCTAGTGTATCACACTCTTCCAGCAGTAAACTAAAACGATCAGCATTCTACTCTTTCCATGCTTTCTTCTGATAACTTCAGACTTCTTCAAGTTGTACAGAACAAATAAGTATCAGAGGCTAGAATCCAAATGCGGTATGAAATTTACCTTAAGTTCCTCTATCTAGCATTTTGTTTACTGGTTTTTTCCTATTGACTAGCCTTCAGATGTCCCCAGGCAAAACAAGTATCAAGCACAATAATATAAAAGTAATTTAGATTACCCGAATCTTGGCCTAACGTATTGATTGGTATTAATTTCTGGTGTGATTCAAAACCATAAGATGTGAGGGTTTTATAAAATGTTTATAATCATCATCAGAAGATGAACTCACAGGAATCTCACCTGTGATCTCAAAGTAGAAATTCCACTGTCCTGAGATTTGAGCCTTCTTACAGATGCTCAAAGAAACTATTTCACGATACCAGCAAGCAGAAAGGGTAGAAGCTTCCTTGAAATGTCTTATTAAATCACCTCAGCCCAATGAGACGAATGACCATCACAAATAACAAGACATAGAGTGTACACACCAAGTTTATCGATTGTAGTGATTAAGTCAGATGGAACAAATGAATCCAAGTCTGCATCCAGAATTCCAAGGGGATCCAGCTGAGCTACATGATGGCCACGGATCTGAAAAAGGAGGAAAGTGAGAGAAAAATGAAATCATGCTAACAAAAGTCAGACAAAGGGAAAAAGTCACTGATATTTCTCCATAGCATGTATACCAGCCATGAAGTCAAATAAACAAACACCACTAATGTCACAAGAGGGTCATATTTCCCAAGTTTTCCTGTAAGAAGAAGAAACAAGCATTATATCTCTGGACATATATACTGCCTCTATTAAAAAATGCTGAATACACATTAGAACAAAACCTTTATTTTGTCTGACATACAATTTAAACAGGAATTACACTGAAATCTATGTAAAAAATCCCACCAAACCTACTAAAGATTGTACTTTAAATCTCTGTGAAAAATTAAGAAACTATGACTAGTCTATAGATCCTACCATTTGCTAATTCGGTCATTTTGTATTTTTGCCTGAATCCTCCTTTCTGTACCTGCTGAATACTAAAATACAGCATTGCTGACCTAAAACATAGATTGGTGCTGAAGAAGTTTAAATTGGAAGTGAAGGGATCACTCTTCATGAGCTCTGCTCCACATCAGATAGCATTTATTTTCATTCATGAAATTTTGGGAATTTCATCTAGATAAAATTAACATTCAAGACATGAAAGAACACAAATTCAATGGGGAATTTAGACAGCTTTCAGTTATCAAAATGACTGGTGTTAATGCATATGTTGCTATAAACTAGTGCCTTATATTAACATACAACATTATTACAGAAGAAAAAACTAATTGATTCAACAGAGCCACAAATAAAAAACATTTTTAATATAATATCTCTTGTGTGTGATTCTCATATACCAAATTAGCTCATTAAAAGCTTTTTATAGATGAAAATATGTATATTTTCTCCTTAATATTTTTCTTTTTAAGGACAAATTCAGATCACTTGCGTAGAATTTCATTCACTCTACTAGTACCCTTATTGTCTCTGACAACAAAAATATTAGTAAACTGCAATATTAATTATTAATCACATCACACAGTAATAGAGTATAGTTCATCAAGAAGTGACTTGTAAAAACACTATTTGAATGTTTTATATTTGCATGAGAGTTCATAACAAAATTATTTCCACTCATAAGCAAACAGAAATATGGCATCTTTTTTAGAACCACCAGCCCTGTAAATTCAGCCTGGCCTCTGAGATTCTTTGCATCTCATGAATCACCAGTAATAAAACTCTGACATGATGCCCACAGCAACATCTGTGCCACCTCATTGTTTACAGTGGCACAAAGTCTACCTGACTGGAACTAAGCAAATGATTCTGTCTCAAGCATCATCAACAGGAAAGGATTCACCTCCCTAAGCTACATCTGCTCTGCAGTATTAGTAGGAAGAGGATTAGCAAGAATGCCAAAACCCAGAAAAGCAAACGAGTAAAGCATTGTGCTATATTACACTCCAGGAGCAGTTTGGTCTTTAACTAAAAGACAGTATTTTCCTCAATATAAAGTTATTTTTAATACCTTCCACTTCTTTCACTGGATACATAAAATAGTAACAACTGCAAAAATCAGAGATCAACCTTGTGAATATATATGCATGGAAAATTTTCATCAATTGCCATAAATTTGACTAAATGAAAGTACGGACTACCTGAAACTAGACTTTAAAATCATATTTTCTAGACGCAGATGCAAAAAATATAAAAATCTACATGATAAAAAAAGACTCAAGAAATTAATTTATCTAGACTCATTTTTTGTTAAGCACAGACATTTCACTGGAAATCCTTCTATCAGTGTGTCCAGTGCCCTGCATTAGAAAAAGCAATAGATTAACTGCTTTTTCAGAAGACCAGCTCAACAGACCACAAAGCAGTTTACCACAAAAACCATAAAATACTGACAGGTTTGAGAAATGAAAATTCTGTATCCTTCTCCATTTCATTTCATTATCAGGCAAAGGAAGGTCACAAATTGATCGTATCCCTTCAACACTGAATTTAAAGGGTATTAAATACCTTTTTAAAACACAATTGCCTTAGGTAATCCTCTTTCATTGTTTGTCACAGCCATAAGGGTGCCTGCCATTTATACAGACATTTATGTTCCATCACTTGAGTCGGACAACACACTTTTAAATACAAGAAACAAAATAGCAATCCCTGAACTACTTTCAAGTAAATGGTGTCAAAGCAGCCTAGCATTCTCCAATTTTCTCTAATTCTTCAACAAATTTTTACTGCAAGCAAAAGTGAACGGGCTGAAGTGGTTGTTTTCTACATATTTCTAAGCAAATATTCTTTATATTCGGAAACCTTTCTACTCTTTTACAACACGTCTTCAACAGCTGGATTAACATGGTTCATATCTGAATCAATGGTGACAATGCAAAGTGTACAGAAAAAAAGTTTTTTTAAAAAAGTTCCTCTATTTCTCTGATGATAGCAAACAGGAGTTGAAATTCTTAGTGCAGGACAGAACAGATCTGCTCAAGTCAAGCTGGACAAAACTTCTTGGGAAGTTACATACTTATTTAAAAAAAACCAACAACAACCTCCCCCCCAAAAAAAAACCCACAAAACCATAATTTAAAAATCAAACTGGAATATTTTGCTCAACAGAGATCTACATGTTTAGCAGGGTTTGTTTCACACTGGTTTTAAGCCTTTTATTGAAATTAAGATATCAAACACAAGTCTAAATAAAAATGTTTAAACATGTTTTACATTTAGAAAACATCTAACCAAAAGTACTCTGCTATTTCCAAAATCCTTCTCCTTTTAGAGGAAAAAAGGAAGTTAAGACTTAATTTCTTAATTCAATAACAAGGTCAAAAAAAAATCTGAGTGTGACAAAAAGTCAACTCTGATGAACATCTCTCAAAGAAATTCATCAAAGCTGACTCAAACTCAGCACCATCCGCCCCACAAAATTCAACTTCTGGTTAATTCATTATTTCTCCTCTCTCTTTTTACCTATAATCCTGCTCAAATTAGGAATCTCAAAAGTCACACTAAATGTATGAGAAGACAAGCACATTTCCTCCTTTCTTAAAGGAAGGTAGTAATTAAGAACTGTAATACAAACTTCCTCAGAGGTGAAGACAGACTGGGATCATGGAAGTTTGCTGTTGAAGAGAGTTCTTATTTCACTGCACGCATCATGAGATTCATTAGTACCAGTATATCCAGGACAACTACCTTCATAGGAAGCAAAACTATTTCAGATAACTTAGTTTTCTAATTTGATCAAGTAACTTACTGAATCAGAGACACACACACAAAAAAGTCTTAATAAGTGAGCCAAAAGAATAGTAAAGGCTAAGCTTTGACATGTTTGACTCCTGGTAAATGGAGTCAAAAAAAAAAAACCAATAGATTCATGTTCCCTTTCAGAAACTCCTATGTCCATAAAGAGCTTCCAGATCAAGTCAAATGACCAGCATCAGGTCTGTGGGTAATGTGAATCCAGAGTTTGCTAAGCCAGAGGAGCATCCCAGTCTGAATCTAGGACCTCAGTGTTCAGATACTGTGCAGGGAAGAAAAGACTGTCCAGTTCAAGACATTTTGGATCAGAAGCAAGACAATAGGCAAGAGTTAAGACCAGAAGACAAACAAGAACATAAAAAGGAAGAAAAAGGTTGTTTGCAGAGGACAGGCCCTCCCACACCTACCCCAGAGTACACTTACTTGATATGCTCTTATCAAAGACTGCACAGCAAGGTGATCTTCAACAAGCTTTTCAGCTTTACCTGGTGTCTGGGCCAGGCCATGGCTCTGAAGAAATGATGCCTTTCTTTCCAACTGATCCGGTAGATGGGGATCATATGCTTGGCCAGCATTAGCGTTTCGGAAAAACAAATCCCAGGACTGGACATGTGTACAGAGTAGGAAAGAAGGAGGAAAATTTATTACCTCAAACAAAAGTCTCACCCAAAAGCATCTCCTTCAAGCTGCAAACGGTACCTCACTACATTACAGTATTAAGTACCAGTAATAGCCAGCAAAAAAAGAGCACTGATATGTCCACATCTCAGTAGCAACTGTGTGTTTCATTTACATAGAGCCCTTTTCATCTTACAGCCCTTTCATCTGTAAGAAGAAATTCTTACACTGAGCTTGTTCAGTGGAAAACCCTCCACCACATATGAGTGCAAAGTATCTTCGTACATTATTCATTCACACAGCTCATTTTAACTGTGTTTATTCAGGCAACCAGTAATGGGTATGATATTATGCTGCTGGTAAAGAGTATCAAGCCTATAAAACTGAAAACCTTAATAAATGAAATTAATCCATTCCTTTAATGATACTTAAAGAATTTATGATACTTCAAGGCACTCACTGAATATGCTTAATCAGAATCAGTCCTTATGGGCCTTTCTTGAAGAAACTGTTTAAAAGCAATTACAGCTTTTCTGACTGAGACTTTTGGTTTAAGATCCTTTCCTCACTAGCTTAGGCTACCCTGCTATGAAAGAAATTATGGACCTGGTTTCAGGTGCAAGTCATAGCTTTAGAGGAGTACATATTTCAGAAACTTAATCACAATGAACAAAAGATCTTTTTATTTCCATCTGTGCTTTTACACAAGCCACTTTCTCCACATATGCCCAAATCTGGTTTTTCTGAACTGTTTCCATTCTGATGAGGTGGTCACTGTCCCAGGTTAGAATGGTATTAGACATATGGATGCCAACAGACAGCAGCAGAATGGGATAAAAAGTCTGAGATGCTTATACCCAACAAAGAAAAAAGCCTGCACTAGCAGGGGACTAATCAATACTTGTGCTTAGCTTACAGTTTCCATCAAAGGTAATGAAAGATCCTCCTCCCTTCTCTCATTTATGCCCATTTCCTATATTCTTACCTTGACACCTTGCTAGCTGCACTAAGAGTAGAAGTCTGAATCTATACAACATCCTATACATGGTCTACAGGAGTCTATTAGTATAACTGCATTTCCTCTGATATTCTCTCTATACACCTTCTTATTCTGTATTAAGAACAGCGTTGTTATTCCATGCCTATAGCACACCTACTCTGAGAGTTTGCAGATCCCAGACAGTGAAAAAACAGATACAATACTTTCGTGTTACAACTAAGGCTACTTAGACTGGAGAAAATTTTTTGGCAATACACAGTTATTAACTTTCACTAAATTAGGAAATTCCAAACACACATTTGGATCCATGACAAATCTGACATTTGGTATTAATTCAAAGTTTTAAAAATAATACGCTTTGCTTATGTTAAGGTTTCTTCCTCACTTTTTCCAACACCATGATCATATACAATGATAATATAACTATTCCTTTGTTGAGTCAACAGCTTTTCATTTAGATGTGTTACACAGTCCCACAACCAATTGAATATGTTTTTAGACAAGTGCTCTGCTGAGACAGTTGCTAATAAAATCCAAATAGACTTGCCCAACAAGCTACCTGTTTAAGGAGAATAAGCACAGGATTTCTTTCTTCATGTAAACCCACAAATATAAAGAAATACGTTGAAAACGTTTACATCTGAAGATGCAGCCAGCTGGGACAGAAGGAACCCATACTATTTTTTCCTATTGCATTTTTGAACTTATTGATCTGCTGGGCAGGCTTGACATTTAATCAGAGGGGAGGGAAAATACATCATTTGGCTACAGAAAATTAGGTTTTTTCTATATACACATCCATCAAAGCCTTTACAAATTTCTGTAGTGTCTTTCAAGATTGATACCAGATTATAGTCTTCAAGTCCTGTGTATCAATGTCAGTGTTTGGCAACAGCATTCACCATGTGTCTGAACAGACAGACCAGCTTGGTCTCACAGCAAATCCGCAGGTTATCAACTAAATTAGTAAAGTTCTTTAAGAAAATGGTAGAGGAGACTTATAAAAGAAAAATACATCTGTAAAAAATAAATTACTAGAGTGATACATGATATATTCCTTTTTTTTTTCTCCCCTGTCAGCAAATCTATGTTGTAGTTAACCATTATTTTCTCAAATAATATAATACAATTCAAGTGATTCAGTGGCAATATTCTACTCTCATATAATAAACAGTGTTGCACTTAGAATAACAAGTAACATATTAGTTATCTTGATGGTTTAGGTTTTTTCTAGTGACATCACAATATTTGTCAACTGCAGTGAGGACAGTAAAGCCTTAGAAGACACACACTGAGCATCACTACATCATTTGAAATTAAAAAAAAAAAAGGGGGGGGGGGAAGGAAAAGGATGAAGTCAAACCAGAAGAAAAATCCCACATTTTTTCCAAGTACATAAAACAAGGAAGTCATTACACACTCACGGTAGAGCAGCTGCATACAGGACAACATGGTAGGCATTATGTACTCAATATCCAACCATGCAGTTTTGTAATTAATCTTGTGATAGTAATAACTGAGCCTTGTCAAGCTTCTCTCTTATGATCTATGGCCCTGACACCACGCTTCAAGGAGAAATAATGATGCCTTTTTCAGAGCCCACGTCATTTTATTCCGATTGTTGTTTTGGCTACTCAAAGGATAGGAAATTCAAAAGACAAGGAAAAGCAGGAAATCATCATGACTGGATTCGCACAAAGAATAAAATCACCTACGGCTATTAATGCCTATTCCTTGATATATAACCATGGTATGCACAGAAAGGAAAGATTCTTAGAAAAAATGCTAGTAACACTGAATACGCTCACTGGAACGTGACAGCCATATTTCAAACAGTTTTAAATAAGTATACATGGGAAGACATGTCCAGTCAAATCTTCTGAGAAGGAAATAATTTAAGGAGTCTTGATTAATAGGAGTTTCTAAGTAGAAGTGAGTAGAGTATGATTTTTAAAGCCCAGGAAAAATAAGGCTTTTTCATCTCATCAACTAGAAGGCAGCACATCCCCTCTAATAAGGGGGAGATATCCAAGAAGAAACATGAGGAAAAATAGGAAATAAAGAGGAAAGACAATGTAATGTCTATCTAAACCATGCTGGACATACTGGATAAAACAACGAAACATGAGTGGCCTGCAGAGAGAGTCAAATTATTAACAATACCATAACCAACACCACATAATCCATTGGTGTCGACGTTATTTTCCAACACTTCCACCACTTTCTGTAGCAGAATGACAAATTCACAACTTGCCTACAGTCATACAATTACAGCATGAATTTTTATGTATTTTTAAGAAAAGAGGGTGAGTTCAACTCTCAATATTTTTAACCTGTTTTATTAAAGCCCAAATTGAACAATTTCTGTCAGCAAAAGTCTTGGGTAGGTATTTACAGCTTTCAGCTTATGAAATGAGATGGTTTTCAAGAAACCAAAAATTAATTTTGTTGATGAAACAAAGTAAAATTAATCGGCATCATTCTCCTCCTCCTCTTTTTTCTAGGCTGTGAAAAACCTAATTATTTAGGCAAGAATAGCTGTAAAGTAATCCACGATGTGCATTAATCATATTCTTTTAAGCCTCATAAACCAGGCACACAGTGAATTTACTTCGGTTCATTACTGTTGTAAGTATACTACACATAGTTAACCTGGAAAAGAATTCACGCATTTTTAAAATGCATCTGGAATTACCTGGGATCCACTCCCTAGGCCACACCCTGCTCCACCGGTACATTTACATTCCTCTGTCAATTCACTCCTGCTAATTTAATGGTCGCTATTCAACCTACAAAACGCAGCATCTCATCAGGATCCATCGCCCAATTGTGCCTGAACTGCCAGATGAATTGGATAGTCTTTTGGCAGGATTTGCAGCATTTCCGTCTAACCACAAGTATCAGCAAAATAACGAGCAGGTCTAAAATTAGCATTAGCTTTTATTTCCCGCCCCGCACAGGACG